CAGGAAGCAAAAAGCTGTGAATGCTAGTACTCAGCTAGATTCCTCCTTTTGAATAGTCTGGGATCCCTGGTAATGGGATGGTAACCCCCACATTTCCGATGGATCTGCCCACATCAATTAACCTAATCTAGAAAAAACTCCTCACAAAAATGCCCAGAGTACTGTCCCCAAGATAATTCTATAGTCTGTTAAGTTGACGATCAAAATAAACCATCACAGTGGTTGATATTAATTCACTGAGTTTCTCTTTGCATTGGTTCCTTGCTCATGAATATTATTATACAATTTATTGCAAAAAGTTGAATAAAGTTAAATGTTTTATAACTGATTTTCTATGCATTTTCTACCTCTTATTCAAAAAACTGAGATGAAGGCTCACACAGATTGCAAAGTACCAGGGTAACATAATTCAAAGCAAAAAAGTTGAATAAAGTTAAATGTTTTATAACTGATTTTCTATGCATTTTCTACCTCTTATTCAAAAAACTGAGATGAAGGCTCACACAGATTGCAAAGTACCAGGGGAACATAATTCAAAGCAAAATGATAATACAGATTACAAAGGAATAAACTGTCAAGATTGATTGCAGTCTTGTGATAGCATTGTTGATGGTAAAGACCTCGGTCATTGTTTGGGACTTTTTTATGAGGTTCAAGAGAAGGAGTCTGATTGAAGGGAAGTAGTTCATTGGTTCTCTATTTTGATTGTCAAGCTGGTATTATGTAAACCCTTTCCAACTGTTCATGTACCTTCCCATAATTCATTGGATTTTAGTCATATGCACACCTAATTCTGCATAGCAATAAGATGATAGTGAATTCTTCCCAAAAGTTCACTTAACACAATTTACCTTACGCTCAGGCAGCCAAAACTAGTTCAGGCCAAATCACTTCATCTCTCTTGGTTTTAAGATGTGTTCTGGGACATGTTTGAACAGATATGAGTGTGACCAAGGAGTTGGGTTACCTAAAGGGGATAACATATTTCCATTGTTTAAAACAGATATACAAGCAATTCTATACAGATGAGGACCACAGGTAGATAAGAGTTTGGTTAGGTGCGTTGTTTATAGAAAGTGTATGTGCATAATATGGGCTGCTGAGGGATTCAGGTTGCCAAGTGAATTACAAGAAAAGAGGCAAACCAAGTGGCTGCCATGTCCTGGGTTGAAAGCTATCCTCTCTGCTTGCCTGCCTCGACTAGTCTCAGTTTTTTTTGTTATATATGAAATAGAAAAAGATATATGATGTATTTAGTATAATACTGCATATGTATCCGTTTATACACAGATATAATACATATATGTCAATGAGAGTCTGACAGATGCAACATTATGGAATGTCCATTAGACATTTTTGTTCATTATTTTATGATTTTTATATATGATTTGCACATGGTTCTTTGTATGATGGAAAAATCTCCTTGTTATCAAATATCATTAATTAATGATTTAAAAACCAGAAGCATAGACTTTTCACATCCAAGTATGTTTTAAATATATGCAGTTCTTACTTGATAGTGTGTCTGAGTATAGATACAACACACATATGTATACATATGTGTTGTTAAAAATTTTTATAGTCTACATACAAATGGAGCTTATATGTCTAGACTGTAAGTTCAAACAAATTCTAAATGCTTTATAATTAAGTACTGCTTATGACCAATTAATTTTTTTAAACTTCAATTACATATATTTGTGTGTGTGTGTGTGTGTGTGTGTGTGTGTGTGTGTGTAGAAGTGTTCAACAGTATGCGTGATGGTCAGAGGAGACTTGCGGGTGTTTGCTGTTTCCTTTTACCATATGAGTTCTCTTTATTGAACTCAGATCATTGAATAGGAAGCCAGCACCTTAACTAATGAGCTATCTTGCCAGCCCTATACTGAACTTCTTAAACTAAGAGAAACTAATTTGATTTGATTTTTCTTTTCCTTATTCCAAGATTTAGAAAAGAAATAACAGATAAACTTTGAAAAGTGCTGATAGC